GATAACAAGTTTTCTAGTAATACAGTTTAGGAAAAAAAACATTTTAAAATAGAGAAAGAAAATCCTTAAAAGCCTATCACATACTACAATATTTGAATTTTCAAAATTATTATATCTTCAGTGCAAAAAGACCAGTTTAACATCTGATTTTACTCAAAAAATCTTGGTAAATAGTAAATTCTCCTTCAAGGTAGATGTTGAAAATCAATCTGAGAGATGTCAAGATTAAATGAGGTAGACTGGGCACAAATATTTGCTTAAGACACACTAAAATAACAATGAAGGCAGTAATCAAAGCGGGTCCGCATAACAATAGCCCCCTCTGTGAGCGACAGACCCCTCTCACTTCCCACTTCCTACTACCAATGTCTGTACGAACTAGAGAATTACTCCTCTCTGATGAAAATGATCCAGTAAGACTCTGGATTTAGGCACATCAAGTACAGGTGATTAATTTTTACTGTGCTGAAAACAGAGACTTAATGGTTTTTAATGGAATTAAGAGAACAAATATCAGAAGTTTGAACTTCCCTATTAGTTTGCAGGCTATCACATACCAATCATTGCACTGGTTGCAAAATGCATAACTAGGGAGCCACTCACATCGATTAAAATATGCAGCACCTATACAGAAATACAAAGCAATTCAGACTTTGAATGACTTGGGTGCAAATACCTGGAGGAATAAATATACTATACATCCCAGTCAATTTCTCATGTTGTTCCTCTACGTTTTTTGATGACCTGAAGTAATGATACAGAAAGTTTCTGAAACCTTAGTGCTCCTCATTCTAGTAATAGTCAACTCTATTACAACTAATATTTGAATATATATTAAAATATATAAATATATAAAATATATATCTTCCTAAAAGAGTAATTAGATAGCACACTGATTACTACATTAAAAAATAAAACATACTTTTATTAACTAAAATACCCAAGAGAAAAAATGTTACTAGATGGGAAATACAGAAAATCCTTCTACAATATTTTGGAACAAATACAGAACTGGAAGTTAAAATGAAAACTAAAGTCACAGGACTCCCTCTCCTGGGTATATGCCCCCCAAAATCTGAAAACATTTATCCATGAAGATACATGTGCTCCAATGTTCATTGCAGCTTTATTTACAGTGGCCAAGACATGGAAACAACTAAAGTGTCCTTCGATAGATGATTGGATAAAGAAGTTGTGGCATATATACACAATGGACTACTACTCTACCATAAGAAAAGATGAAATAGTGCCATTTGTGACAAAATGGATGGATCCTGAGATTACTATGCTAAGCGAAATAAGTCACACAGAAAAAGTCGAGAACCATATGATTTCACTGATTGTGGGATATAAAACTGAAAGCAACAAAGGAACAAGACAAACAAAGACACAAAAAATCACAGACACAGACAACAGTTTACTGGTTACCAGAGAGTAAGGAGGGAGTGGGGTAGATGAGGGTAAAAGCGATCAAATACATGGTGATGGAAGGAGAACTGACTCCGGGTGGTGCACACACAATGTGATATATAGATGATATATTACAGAATTGCAGACTTGAAACGTAATTTTCCTAACAATTTACTAACCAACAAATTTTAATTGAAAAAAACAAAACTAAATATTAATATTAAATTAAAGCAAGAATTATTCAGTTTAAACACCCCCCAAAAAAATGTTTAATGAGTGAATAACAGGAAAAAAGCTTATTTTCTCATATGAAGTCTCTAATATGTGAGAGTTACCATCAACCAGAAATTTTTACAAAGCAGAATTACCTGCACTGAATATTATCTCTGCTTGGCAACCTATATTCCAACTATCTGTTAATAATTGACAAAATACAAAAAACTTAAAATTTTAACTTTTTGAAAAAGCACATTAGTTGGGTATGTTAGATAAAATCTTTGAAGGTACTACTCTGCAGCCCCTTTTCCAATGTGAAATGGCTTGGAATTTGGGATAAAAAAGATAAATTAGTGATCCTGCTAAGCAGTAATACATTTAGAAAATTTTAAGCTTAAAAACTGGTAAGACTAATATTGTATTTTTCCAGCCTTATTGAAATATAATTGACATATAGGATTGTGTAAGTTCAAGGTGTAAAACATTATGATCTGATACACAATATACAGTTGACCCTTGAACAATGCAGGAGTTAAGGGGCACCAACCCTTACCCAGTCAAAAATCCACATATAATTTTTGACTACCAAAACTCAGTCTTCCCTCGGTATCCGTGGGGATTCGTTCCAGGACTCTGTGCAGATACCAAAAAGCACGGACGCCCAAGTCTCACATAAAATGGCATAGAACAGCACACAAAATTGGCCCTCTGCAGCTGCAGATCAAAAATACTGTTTTGGATCCACAATTGGTTGACTCTGCAAAACCTGGGGATATGAAGGGTTGACGGTATACCGTATTCTGCCGTGTATAATGCGCGCCCGTGTATAATGCGTACCACGTTTTTGGCCCAAACTTTCAGGGGGAAAAAATCTTTCGTTTTTATTTTCCAAGGGATTTTTCAATAACTTTTGTAAAATTATCAGCTAGATTGCTAGCTCCCACCTAAAGTGTACGAAGAGAAATGTTGCGCTGTTCACCCTATGGTAATAAAGTCAGCATCGCCTATCTTATGTGGACAACAATACATCGAATCATTGGTCAAAATTACTTCCATTGAAAGTTCAACAAAACTGATTATTGTGTTCCAGGGTATTATTTTGCATAAGGATATTGTTATTGATTTCTAGAGTTACGCTTTTAACTCATAAGCAGAAATAAAAAAAATTAAAAACACTTATATAGATACGGAATCACTACTACCAATGTATAATGCACATCCTTATTTTTCCCCTCACAAATTTAGGCAAAAAAGTGATTATTATACATAGCAAAATATGGTATTTACTGAAAAAAAAAATACGCATATAAGTGGACCTGTGCAGTTCAAACCCGTGCTATTCAAGGGTAATTGTATATTGTGAAATGATTACCATAAGGTTAGTTAGCACATCCATCACCTCACATAATTACGTGTGTGTGTGTGTGTGTGTGTGTGTGTGTGTGTGTGTGGTGAGAACAGTTAAGATTTATACTCTTAGCAACTTTCAAGTATATAATATGGTGTTGTTGACTACAGTCACCATGCTGTACACTAGGTCCCCAGAACTTACTTACCTTATAACTGGAAGCTTATACCCTTTGACCAACTTCTCTCCATTTCCCCCACTCCTCAGGCCCTGGTAACCACCATTCTACTCTGTTTCTAGGATTCAGCTTTTTTAGATTCCACATGAGTAAAATCATACAGTATTTGTCTTTGTCTTACTTACCTCACTTAGCATAATGCCAAGGTCCATCCACGCTGTCACAAATGTTAGGATTTCTAAAGATCAATATTACTTAAATATTTCAAAGTATAAAAACATAGTAGTCTCCCCTTATCCGTGGGGAATACATTCCAAGACCCACTGAAACTATAGCTAATAACAAACTCTATATATACTGTTTTATCTTATACATACACCTATGATAAAGTTTAATTTATAAATTAGGCAAAGCAAAAAATTAACAATAGTAACTAATGATGAATTGGTTAGAACAATTGTAACAACACACTGCAGTAAAAGTTATGTGAGTGTGGTCTCTATCTCTCTCTCTCTCTCTCTCTCTCTCTCTCTCTCTCTCTCTAATAACTGACACGGCTACTAACGAACTGATAGGTGGGGAGCATCTACAGTGTGGAGATGCTGGACAAAGGGATGATTCACATACTGGGCAGGATGAAACAGGACGGTGAGAGATTTCATCACGCTACTCAGAATGGCATGCGATTTAAAACTTATGAATTGTTTATTTTTGAAATTTTCCATTTAATATTCTTAGACTGCAGTTGACCATGTGTAACTGAAACAGAGGAAAAGTAAAACCGTGGATAAGAGGGCACTACTGTACCCAGGGAACACAGCAGGAGACAGATAAAGGTGCTATCCTAGAGATGTGGAAATAAGGAGTGAGGAATTCCAGTCTAAATATGGACTATATATTAGATAGCATTATTTTCATAATGTTAAATTTTGAGGTATGATAATGGTGCTATGGTTATTTATGAGATTCTCAGGCTGCTGAAGTACTGACAGGTGAAATATACCAGTTTCAGAAATTTCAGAAAAACACACAGAAAGAAAAAGAAAGCAAATGTGCAAGATGTTAATACCAGATCAATCTAGGTAAAGGGTATATGGGGATTCATTATATTGTTTTTTTACCTTTTCTGCAGGCCTGAAATATTTTACATAAAAAAGAGAAATGCACCCTTGTATATATCAAGACATGTACAAGAATGTTCACCAGCAATATTATTGATAAGAGCCCAGAGTAGAAACAATCCAAATATACATCAACAGTAAAATGAACAAGTAAATGGTAATAAATAGACAAGTACATTATGATGTGTTCATATAACAGAGTACTGAACAGCAATGAAAATGAACTAACTACTGTTAACAAATCACATGGGTGAAACTCACAAATAATGTTAAGCAAATAAAGCTATGCATAAATAAGATGAACTAATATTTGTTGAATAAATATTTCAGAGAAGACTCAGATTAAGATCAGGGCTGTCATTTATCTTTGTTTAGCAAAAGTTTTATTCACAGACAGTACAAATAAGATTACAATGAAAACATATAAGTTATTTAGGAGAACAAATTCCTTTCAAGCACCGTCAAGCTCATTTATAAAAACTACCCACATACTACTGATCTGCTCCACTAATTAATCACAGTATACTGCTGGTTTGTCAACTTTTTTAAATATCCAATTTAAAACCTGTATCTGATCGTTACAAACCTGTACTACAAAGATTTTTCATCAAAAAAGGGTTTCAAACTGTAATACAATTAAACAATTTTAGTTTTAAAATATAACCTAAATCCAGATTTGTAACCAGAGATTATGTTTAAAAGAGAGACAGAGACATAAGAGACTTACATTAACTTTGAAAGCTTGTACAGTGTTATCCAGAAGAAGGATGTTGCAAACCACCTCTGTATGCTGTCTGTCTCGGGCCAACTCTGATGCTCGTACATTGTAGGTTCTGCCAGCAGGCAATCGGAAACGTGAGGTCATTACTGTCCACACAAGGTCTAAGTTGAAAAAAAAAAGCTCACTAAGTAAAAGAACAGTTCAAGATACAAAGTCATTTAAAACACAAAATTCTACTATGTATTTTTCAACTAACATTTAAATAAAAAGCACTTATAAATTTTCAAACAGCCAGATAAGAATTATAGGTATAAAAAAGATACTATATATATAATCATCTAAATAAAAATTACAGACTACCTGGAAGAGGGGTTTATTTTTTAACTATTCCACTGACAAAACAATATACAGGTTGTTTAGGAAGTCATATTCCAATTCAAAACATATAAATTTAGAAGTAGCCAAAAAGGGAGGAGGAGAATATCCTACCTCAGGAAGCTGGACATTACTCACTGATATAAAAACCACTGTAAAGTGGCAACAGGAGGGAAGATTACTTAACTCTGAAGGGCCCCTCCTCCTTTATTAAAGCTTAAGATTTGGGGGAAACATGGGAGTTTGTTTTTAAATAATACCATTCATTTTAACTAACTTCAAATTCTAATTCTAATAGGATTATTCTTATTATTCATAAGAACAAAAATAAGAACTTAAGGCTACAGATCTTTGCTTCTCAATTTGCAACCTAGGAGGGAAAAATATATTGCCTATAAAAGAACAAATATCACCAACATTTGATGTTAAAAGACAATGAAGATGTAGCTTCCAAGTCTGAAAGAAAATAACTTGAAACACCAAATTATATACCCCCAAAATTAGAATTCATGTGGCAGAATAAAACTAAAAACATTTCAGACATTCAAGGATTCAGTTTAAAATCCATAAAACTTCCCTCTTATAATTAGATAATGGAAACAAGCTACACTAAAAACAAACACAAGTATATAAAATTTTAAAATATGAATAAGCAATAAATAGATATTTGAATGAGCAAGCAAAAATAAAAAGAAACAGCAGTTAAAATTGGTGGTATTCAGTAACTGCAGGTGACATCATGGACTGTTCCTGTCAAAAGGATTAAAGCTAAAAGTAAAAGTCAATGTTACATAAGTATACAAATTGTATAGAGGAAAAGAGCTTTAGCATTTTGACAGGAAGACTGGCCAAGTAAGGTACACCAACTAAAAGATAGTGATTGGTGGTTTCTGATTCCATATGTAAGGAGCTTGGAAGTTCCACTCCATCCTAACAAGCAAAAAGCAGAACAAACTGGAAAATCAGCAACTCTTCTTTGATCCATAAGAGAGAGGACACAGGGCAAAATGCTGTCCCCAAGACTGGACAGACAAGCAATTATGTAGAGTTGCAGCTTACTGGAGTATAGACCCACAAGCAGAAACCACTACAGGAGCCAGCGCATGAGTAGGAAAACCTGAACTACAACCGATGAATTGCTGGAGGCTCAAAGCAGACAATTCTGAGAGTTAAAAACTCTAGGGGACCCAGTCATAGCAGGGCTGTACGTCCAGGAGCTCAACTAGATTCCCACAATAAATGTCAGAGAAAAACACACTTGGGCTTCCTGCAGGTTGGGTGGGGTAGAGTGGCCATTATGAAATACACCAGAGCACTCTATTCTTAACAAGGCCTACCCTCTTTAACCAGAGCCTAACTGATCTGCCACAAGGAAAATACCCAACTCCAGCTGAATCCAGCCTTCCAGTGGGAGAAGGGAAATACCCAACTCCAGTCCACTCTAGCCATCCTGACCCACCTACGGCGAGAGAAAAAACTGAGAAACACTTGTGAAGTGCACAGCCCAGAGGCCTAAGCTCACTAAAACACTGAGAGCTAGTCATAGCGCTAAAGAACGCTTCCCCTACCCCTACATTACTAAGGGCTTATTTATAGCAGTCCCTGTTAGCCGGATATCATGTCTGCATATCAAGGAATATTTACAAGGCATACCAAAAGGATAAAAACACATTGTGAAGCGAGAACAAGCATCAGAACCAGACATGGGAGGGATGTTGGAATGATCAGACAGGGAATTTAAAACACCTATGATGAATATGCTACAGGCTCTAATGGATAAGGTAGACAGTACACATTTACAGATGGGCAATGTAAGCATACAGATGGAAATCCTAAGAATGAACCAAAAAGAAACGCTACAGGTATAAAACACAACAGATAGGAAGAATATCTTTTATGGGCTTATTAGTACACTAGACACAGCAGAGAAAGGATCTCTGAGCTACAGAATATATCAATAGAATCCTCAAAAAGTGAAAAGCAAAAAGAGCAAGACTAGAAAAAAAAACACATAACAGAATATCCAAAAACTGTGGGACAACTACAAAAGGTCTGACATACACGAATGGGAATACCAGAAGAGAAAAAAGAACAGAAAAAATATATGAAACAATAATGACTGAGAATTTCCCCATATTAATGCCAAACATCAACCCACAGATCCTGGAAGCTCAGAGAACACCAAGGAAAAATGCCACAAAAAAAAAACCCAAAACAAAAAACACAAACAAACCAAACAAAAAACATACATCTAGGCCTATCATTTTAAAATGAAAATCAAAAATAAAGAAAAAATCCTGAAAAAAACACTTTACCTATAGAGGAACAAATACAAGAATTATATCTAACTTCTTAACCATGCAAGCAAGAAGAGAGTGAAGTCCGAAGTTATCCAGGAGATGGCCTATGTGGGCAACTCCTCCTATGGGCAAGAGTACTGCTCTTCTGCCGTCACATGTGAGCCCTCAGGCACGGGGTAGCTGCCTTGATTCTGCCCCTGGCATTTGCCAGGCTCTAGTGGGAACAGGTCCTCAGGACTTCACAGGTACGGTTGCCAGCTGTGTGTTCCTGGTCCTCTGGGCACACAGTATGGTACCCTCATGTTTGGACATTTTTCCCAGGCTCTAGTGGAGTGGTTGTCAATGTTTACAAAGGGGCAAGAGTGAGTGTCTTATGATCTCTGGCCTCAGCTCTCTGTTTTTGCTAAATGCCTTTTTTTTCTTTTTAATATTTTATTGGGGAATTGGGGGAGGGGAACAGACAACTTGCTGTCCTTTTGTTCTTCACTCTAGTTGTGGAGGACATCGCCTCACTGGCCCATGTTGATATTATCATTGCGCTCTTCCCGGGTGAGGCAGATTTGTCGCCAGCCTCTGGACGGCCGCTCACGGTGGCTCTTGGCACCTCACACCGGCTGCTGGCCGCTCATGCCAGCTGCTGGCCACACACAGTAGCTCATGGCAGCCCACTCAGCCGGCCCGCTAAATGAATTCTTATTACCTACATGGTTGCGACATGAGTCCTGGGAATTATTTATTCAGGATCCAGTCTCCTATGTAGATTTTGGGTTTTGGCTGGGTGAAGGGAGCAGGAGACTCTAGAAGTGGAGCTAGCTCCCTGGAGGGACACTGTATATATGCAAATAAATTGAGAAATCTTAAAAAAAAAAAAAAGAAGAGAGTGAAGTGTAATATTTAAAATGTTGAGAGAGGGCTGGCTGAGTGGCGCGTTGGTTAGGAGTTGGCTTGGGACCGCCAGCTCTGAGCAGCAGGGCCCCAGTTCAGATCCCACATTAGGGTCAGTGACGCTGTGCCCTCTACAGCTAAGATGGTAAACAACAGCTCGACCTGGAGCTGGGCTGCCGTGAGTCGCCAGCAATGGCGTAGGCTGCAGTGGAGCTGCAGTGGGCTGCCGTAAGTTACCGTGAGCTGCCAAGAGCCTCCGTGAGCGGCTGTCCAGTGACCAGTGACCGACTGCCTCACCCAGGAAGAGCGCAATGATAATACCAACATGGGCCAGTGAAGCGACATCCTCCACAAGTAGACTGAAGAACAAAAGGACAGCAACTTGTCTGTTCCCCTTCTCGGATTCCCCAATGCTGTTCCCCTCCCCCAATTCCCCAATAAAATAAAATAAAATAATAAATGAATAAAATAAAATGTTGAGAGAAAACCAACTTAGAATTCTGCATCCTGCAAAACTATTTTTCAAAAGAGAGAGAAATACTTTCTCAGAGAGAGAATTTGTTGCCAGCAGACTTGCCTTATATGTTAAAAGAAGTTCTAGAGAAGGAAAAAAATATAGGTCAAAAGTCACATCTACATAAAGTAAGGAAGAGCATCAAAGAAAAAACAAGTGAAAGTAAATTAAACACTTTTTAATATTCTCAATTGATTGAACACTTACAATACCCTCTACTTGAGTGTGGGAAGGACTTAAGGAATTTGATGGGATTATTCTTCCATGATTAGGTGAAGGCTGAAAGGGATTTGCAAATGTGATTAAAGTCCCCAATCAGCTGAGTTAATCAAGGATTGCATTGGTGGGCCTGACTTAATCAGGTGAAAGCTCTTAAAAGAAAGACTGGGACCTTCCTGAAGTGAAAAGAAATTCTGCTGCTGGTTTTAAGAACTGATCTGCCTTGTGATGGGACCTTTGGCAGGGCCATGTGGCAAGGAACAGCAGGGGCCTCTAGGAACTGAGAGCCAGCAAGGAACTAAAGACCTTGGCCCCACAGGTGACTGTATTTGTTATCAATTATACAAACTAGGAAGAGAACCCAAAGCTCATGCATATTTTAACTTTGTGAGATCCAACCAAGCTGTGCCCATACTCCTGACCCACAGATACCATAAGAAAATAAATGTGTGTTGTTTTACTCTGCTAAATCTGTGGTAATTCATTACATGACAGAAAACTAATGCATCTTTCACAGTGGTACTATTCAACCAACAAGCATTCACAAGAGAAAGAAAGAAAATATATAAGGAATGAAGCAATATTCATGACGATCTCTGTGCCCATTCCATCCCTGCCTGTGATGGATGTATACTTCCCTTCTCCCCATCCCTGCCTTCCCTTCACCAGGGTTAAGGGTCTAGCCCAGGGTTTGGCAAACTTTTGAGATGGAACGTACCCAAAGAGCAGCATGTGGCTCACAAGCCGCAGTTTGCCCACCCTGGTCTAGCCAAAGAAAGTGACCAAAGACATAAGGAAATACAGTGGTAAGAAAAGAATCAGCAACTTAGTCTTAACAGTAGGGGGAGCTACCTAAACAGGAAAATTG